TACAAAAGCTGAATAGTCACGGTTAATTTTTATTGGTCAGCTCAAATATTACGTTTCATTTCTATTGGTTAGCTCAAGTATTACGTTTCTCTTCAACATTCAGTGATATCACAATGTGAAACCTAACCATTTAGAGATGGGTAAACCATATTGAATTGTACGAGACCCTCCCTACTAAATACAGTGTTCCTAATTTGTGTTTTCTCTATATATTAACTTACAGTGAATTTATAGCGCTTTATAACAACGATTTCAAAATACTAATACGGATTCAGGTTGTGGCGCCATGGGCGAGCTATTTAGCACCTATATAAATGGTTTGTAGCGATTTCTCGAGGGTTAGAATTGCAATGACGTCAAGAGAAGACTTATGGCTGACAAAATTTTTCTCGCATGCCTATCTGATGACGGATAATGATGTCGTGTAGAAAGAATGTTAAACGTTATAGAATCAAAGGGCATTTCGATCAACAGCTTCCATGGAAACCGAAAATTCGCACAACAAACATATTAAGGAAACAACAGTCTGAAGCCACACCCCATTACAATTCGAGCAAAGCCCTCATCCAAACATTTGACGGTAATTAATGCGAAAGAGGACCTTCCGATTCAAAATGATGAAGCAATGAAGCTCGAAATATCTTTTGGTGCCGTTAGGGACAATAATTAAAGATTTAAAGATGACGCGGACTCGTAGGTAAAACATTGCACAAGTTTCCGGCTATACAATAAAGATGGCCGATGAAACTGGAATTTCAATAATCCGATTCGATTGCATAGCTGTCGAGCCGTTTCCAGCTTCACAATAAAGATGGCCGATGACAATGGAATTTCAATAATCCGATTCGATTGCATAGCTGTCGAGCCGTTTCCGGCTTCACAATAAAGATAGCCGATGAAACTGGAATTTCAATAATCCGACTCGATTACATAGCTGTCAAGCCGTTCCCGGCTACACAATAAAGATGGCCGATGAAACTGGAATTTCAATAATCCGATTCGACTGCATAACTGTCGAGCCGTTTCCAGCTTCACAATAAAGATGGCCGATGACACTAGAATTTCAATTATCCGATTCGACTGCATAGCTGTCGAGCCGTTTCCGGCTTCACAATAAAGATGGCCGATGAAACTGGAATTTCAGTAATCCGATTCGATTGCATAGCTGTCGAGCCGTTTCCGGCTTCACAATAAAGATGGCCGATGAAACTGGAATTTCAGTAATCCGATTCGATTGCATAGCTGTCAAGGCCCTCGATGCATTTCCAATTAATTTTTATGCTTTTGGTTTACTTCAACGTGATCTTTGAAGCCGACCTCCAGGTGCTGTGAAAGGAAAGTTTGTCAGCATGAAAACTCTACAAGATTGATCTCGACGTCTTTCGCAGAAGTATGTTAATATGGAAACTGGGGAATTGTGTGTAATCACAGTCATCCAAATAACGCCAATTGATAACGGAATAACACGGGACTTGGCATATCGTTCTTTTAAAATGGGTTAATCATTACTACGTACACTAAATTTTCTACATGAACGACACACAAGACTTCTATATCATATACAACACGAATTTCCTAAATTGTTCATAAACAAGGCCTTTCATGAATTGCACATAAATTTCTATACTGTTCAGTTAGAACTATTTCGAGTACGTATCACGAAGGTTGCCAAACACGTATGTGTAAAACTATTCATTAATAGGTGCACATGATTTTAACAGCAATAGCATGATAAACGATATAAATTTACACACTTCAATCACATTTCTGAAAGCCCTAATTCTACTACGTGTGCATGTACAGCAAAGATAACGGATCTTGTTGACAAAATCGATTAATAAAACAATACACAACTTTGCGTTAAACAGCAAATATTATCTATAAACGAACATGCTCCGAAAATCCCATACACATACAACGTTCTCATTCTTGTTACGTGGTGGTTTATACTTTACTCGCAAGTACTTCTATTATAATGAGTTGTCATTAACCAAGGCTCTCATTCTATTAAGGCAGATCGATATTGGGGGATTCTTAGTGATTTAATGTAACTCAAGCTTCTGGTATAAATTTTTATTTTTGAAAGCTCCGTATCAATTTTCTTTTTAAACGTGCAAAATTATTGAAATGATAAAGTGAAGCCTTTGTATATAGTATCGATACATAAAGTGTTAAAAACTTGTCAGAAAATTTAAACAAGTACAAAGCTGTAGAACCTGTCTACAGAAGTAATAAAGAATCTAATAAATTTAAGGGCAGTTAAAACTTGTAAGCACTAAAAAAAACATACCGAGGAGCAAAAAAAAAAAACAAACTTTTTTTTGGTTACTGTTAAAAATAAACATGACTGTTACTGGAGCAAAAAAAGATAAATCTATTTTGTATGTCTGCACTTCCCAGTAAACTGAAAGATTGGAATTTTCAACCTGAATGGAAAGTATACTAAAAGGACAGGTCAGAGACCCCTCGAGTTCAGGTATAACTTCCTTAAGCTGTAACTACTGGCCAGAAGGAAGGCAGCAGGCAGGCATTCAACAGCATTGACCACCATGATACTTTATCCTACTATTTGAACTGAATATTGTAAGTGACTGTCGCTGTTCTGATGTGCTGAGCATATTCAGTAGTTTTATGTCTCAAACTTTGGCCCCAGAAGTAAGTATGATGACCACATGAAACATGTACTTTAAAAAAATGAATTTCTAATTATCGTAAAGTACTAGCACTGAAAATAGAATCAGAAAAAGTAGCATGCATGAACTATTTGTACATTTGCTCAAAGTTACACAAGGGGATATCTGTGCTAGCTATTGCTAATACTTAACTGAGGGAAGGAAAGCAGCTAGTCAACAACAACCAGTCAACAGTAACTCTTGTAACACACCCACAACGCTAAAGTATGGAGTGTGATTTTGTGGCAACAAGATGTGAAACATGGACTCCTCACATTCACAGTCTAGCAGGCAAACTGCCCACACATGTCCAATGTATGCTTAAATACACACTACATAGTTTAAATTTAAAAAAAAACATAACACATATCAACTTCATTCAAAGTGGACATTCTTTATTTTCTTCCTTTGAAATGGAATATTGGATAAAAGATAACTATGGTTGTCAATGAAGACAAGAAAAACGTGTTGCTAAGTGATATCATGCAACTTTTAATAAATCAATAGAAAGAGTAGGAGAAAAATGTCCACCTAGTGAGAAACAGGTAACTCATACTTTTTCAGAAGCTAATGTCACATCAACAGTGTTTGATTAGATATTGTTGAACATTTTTTTAAATATTTAATCTGAATTAATAAGAAATTGTGTACTTTCAGTCTTTCAGCTGTTGAGATTAAACAGAAAATTTTATTATTGGTCTTTTATTAAATAGAATTTTAAAATTCCTGCAAAATATGTATAGTGCACATCTAATTTACAAAGCTGCTTTTAACTAAAGCTGAAAGATTCAAATACCAATACTGAATTCATACCAAGTTGTAAAATAATAAAAAAAAAACATTTTATATTATGGTTTTAATTAACAAGACTTATTTAGGCTATTTAAAGGGCAACACACATATGGACTAGGAATTGTTAATCAATAAAAGCATTCAGGAAAAAAAGATACACTTCTTATACTGAATCTTCTTTGTATCATAATTAACTGACAAATTAAGGATTACTAATTTCATTTAAAAGGTTTGAATTTTGAGATTTGTTTAGGTTTTTTTCTGGACTTTAAGCTTCTGAAATTTATAATAAACAGGTAAAACAAATATCAAAACTTGAGATAAACAAAAGAATCAAAGCAAAATTGCTGATAATAATGAGATAAATCTGTCATCAGATTTACTGAACTAGCTACCATACGTCCCTAGCCTTCACACTGAATAAAATTCTGTTTCCGACAGTAGTTACACAACAGGAAGTAAATTCTATTTCATGTTGCTAGCCGTTTCATGTTTTGTTTATAAACTTTAAAATAATAACCATTTCTAATATTTACCCAAGTATTGCTTTAGGCAGCTGAATGTGATAGAACATATTTGTTTCAATAAATACATCTGCCCACACAAATTGCACAGAAGAACATCTACCAATGAGTAAATATAGACAATACTAATCTCAAACTTCAAGCAAGTATTAAATTACTGCTACATAACAATGTGTGCTACTTATAAAACATTCAAATGGTGTATGAAACAAAGACTATATTTCATGGAACTACCAAGATGTCCACACCTCAAATTAGTACCTTAAACCAATGCCACTTGAAGCACCAAAACACTAATAGATGGAATAATAAAGATGGATAGATGTCGAAGAACTAACATATTAAAATGTAGACCAAATAATTTACCAGATTCTATGTCATCACAAGCAACATCCAGCAAACTCATCACACAATTACAGAGCAGAAATTGATAAACAAAACAACACAACAAGGAGACTGAAACCCAAACAATAACAAAACCCCAGATGTTACCATTGCTGCAACATCTTAAAAGCATGATTAACCAAGAGAAACCTTCCTAGATTTTATTATATGTAAAGTTTGGCTGTGTGGCAATAATATTTGTGTTAACCGAGTTAAGAAAGCTTCGCCAAAATATTCTACAACAGATTATATACCCGAACAGTTTACGTACATTACTCTGTAAAATGGAAAAAGAAACTTAAGTTACTGTTACCAGGTAAAATATTTTTTTTACAGCTGGATAACACAGTACTTTCTATAATCTACACTATACTCACTGAATTGAACACAAAACCAAACATTCATGCCTGTATTTTCTTTTCATGTTTTAAATTTTTTTAAATATCTTAGCATTGGGAAAGTTTGTCGTATACAATGCGGCTAAATAAAATGTGGGTTTTATTTTCAAGTTCTTTCAAGTGTTTTTATTATTTATTGTACAGACTTCAAGGTAAAACTGCAATATTTCTTAAATTAAACACCTTGGAATGATGAAACTATAAAATTTGTGATAGAAATTTCAACTGACCAAGTACTCTTGTGGGTCTTGGGGAATGGGTGGTTACACTAATTGATGGTACTGCTCTGCTTTGATGATGATAAAGTGATTCTTTTCCATCTCGTTTACTCTCTGTCATACTTTCTTCTTCACTCTTTTGTTCTTGTTCACTCTCCGATTCTCCTGTATTTGAAGTTGGAAAGTAAAGTTGTTGTAATACAGTGTCAGTAAATTACAGTTACTTTTTAAACAGTTCTCTCTAGTACAGATAACTAAGAGTTTATTAGGTCACACAGGGGCCCATTCTCTTGTGTAATGACTGATTTTGAACTGAATTTACACTAGAATGCAACTATTTACAAATATAGAAAATATATATTTTCTTAAAGAGTTTTCATCAGAAGATGCTGGATCTATAACCATAGTATAACAGAAAAAACGTAGAATTTATGGTCTTAGGATACTGCAAAGATTTCATAACTGTACATTATTTCAAATTTTATTTAAAACTACTGTTATATGTAGTCCGTTTGATTCCTTGAACATCATGGAACTCGAAAAATATTAATAATTAATACTTTATAGCGTATTCATTGGACCTCCAAAGAGTTTTTGTGATAAATTAATAAGAATGTATATTGGTTTTTCCTAACTGGTACAAGTAAGCAACTGAAGAACGAAAGAAAAAAAAAATAGATATACAGATTGAGGAAAGAGCAAGAGAAACTTTATCAAGTAGGTATAAAGTACAAACATTTAACCCTAGATTGATTTGTAACCTACATGTGTGTGTGTGTGTACATTTAAAGCAGTTTTTATCCATATCTTTATCTGTCTGGTGTCAAAAGTTGTTGGGAAAACTGACTGAATAAATTTCAATGCAACTGGGTAGAAGAATTCAGTTGGACCTTCCAAAGGTTGTTGGGTTTAAACAGATAAGCAATCATACAAATGATTCAAGTTTGGCAGGTATTTCAACTTTAATATCTTAATACTGGGAATGAGGGCTAAGAAAAAAGCACACACAATGTATATGAATTTTAACACCAACCTGAAAGAGATTCAGATATTAAACCCGTTTTCCTTGAACCACGTCTGTCGTCTTCACTGCTGTATGAAGCATCACTTATCAGTCGTTCCAACTCTCCAATATCATAATCTGCCATTCCAAAATAAACATTAAGTTCAAGCTACATTGAAAATCAATATCAATCAGAAGGGCAGTAACTGAAAATTTATTAACTATATCAATTTTGGTAATAACAATAGTTAATTTATTTTTTAGTAATTTCAAAACTGTAAAATATGTTTTTTCAAAGAAAATAAGAAATTTAAATTATCTGAAATTCTAAACTTTCTTTTACACCCACTTCCAAATTCACACAGTTCAGTTAACACAAAAGCTGAGCTACAGACTAAATAAAGAACAAAACTTATTTAGTGTATTCAACTTAACATTGCTTTTCAATGACCCAACAATTCCTGCTTTATGGAATAATATCAAACCAGATTAACAATTGCTCAAAAATTAAGTTTTCTTTTCACTTAATATTTATCTCACAAAAAGATACAAACAGCATGAGAAACAATATTATACAATCTTAATATTGTTATATACATATTATCATCACAATGGTACAGGAAAGTTAATTTGATTTATTCAATGTTATTTTTGTATTTTAATTCAATTTTCTAAACTTCCATGTAGATAATAATATAATTAAATAAAACAATTAGCTATAGATAAAATATAAAGTGTTATGTTTAACTAATCAAAGTTAATTAACTGGTTTATTCATTAGGGAAAGTGTTTTATTGCTCTTAAGTGCACACTTAATGACCCCTTGTTAAATATTACATAATCTCAGTATTACAGTATATTTATTAGTGAAATTTGAACAAATTCAATAGAGGCTTTTAAAGTAGGATAGGCAACTGCAACATCAATGCATGTAATATAGTGAAACGTCATGGAAAAGATACATCATACTTATTTCTCATTATAACAAAATACGTTTGTGAATGTTCACAGAAATTACATTACTTCGGAATTACAGTTCATGATTAATGCAGGTACAGCTACGTTTCTAAGTGTGTGTAAAACATACCACACTTAAACAGAGTTTGGATACTTTAATTAAGCAAAAATATGCCAGTTTACTAGTGTTAGAACTGTGTTACTGAGAATAAATTAAATAGGTTCTCTTTCTTTTCGTACTCTCTTTCACTGTAAAGAGTTAAGTTAAACGTTACTGCTACATTTCCAATTTCCTGTATATAACCTTTATAACATGATAAGCCACTTGTACAAAGTCAAATTATACGTTTTATGGTGTACAATGCCATATCATGGAAAAACATGCTTGTTCTTATTTTACTAAGTTAAAGAAAAAATAACTGTGATTATTCATTTCAAATTATAGGATAATATTTAGATGGTTTTACTCCACTATGAAAGAGTCCGTGACAAAATTTTTATTCTTGTATACATGTACATAAAAATACAGTTGCCTCTAGTTTGGAATGTGTAATTTTTTCAAAAATTATATTTATAAAAAAAGAATCATACGTGTGGACCAGATATAATAGAGGTACAATTCACAACAAATAGAGAAACATAATAGAGGTACAATTCACGACAAATAGAGAAACATAATATAGGTACAATTCACGACAAATAGAGAAACATAAGAGGTACAATTCACGACAAATAGAGAAACATAATAGACGTACAATTCACGACAAATAGAGAAACATAATAGACGTACAATTCACGACAAATAGAGAAACATAATAGAGGTACAATTCACGACAAATGGAGAAACATAATAGACGTACAATTCACGACAAATAGAGAAACATAAGAGGTACAATTCACGACAAATAGAGAAACATAATATAGGTACAATTCACGAC